AGACTCCACCACCTCCCTAGGTAATGCATTCCAGTGCTTCACCACCCTCCTAGTGAAAAAGTTTTTCCTAATATCCAACCTAAACCTCCCCCACTGCAACTTGAGACCATTACTCCTTGTTCTGTCATCTGGTACCACTGAGAACAGTCTAGATCCATCCTCTTTGGAACCCCCTTTCAGGTAGTCAAAAGCAGCTATCAAATCCCCCCCTCATTCTTCTCTTCTGCAGACTAAACAATCCCAGTTCCCTCAGCCTCTCCTCATAAGTCATGTGGTCCAGCCCCCTAATCATTTTTGTTGCCCTCCGCTGGAAAGAAGATGAGAAGTCACCTTACCATTATTATTTGTATTCCCATAATGACTAGAGGCCCTAGTCATGGATCATGCCACTATTGAGCTAGGTGTTGTACAAAGACAGAACAAAAAGATGGCCCCTCCTCCAAAGAGTTGACAATCGAAGTCACTGGCAGGTTCAGCCCTAGATAGCTGATAAGAAAGTGCTTCCCTCCCTGGCCTTAAATGATGTGATGCAGTTAATGTGTCCTTGACATTTCAGGGTTTTAAAGATTATCACCAGCACCTTGAATTGATCCCAGGAGTGGGACAGAGAAACAGTACAAAGACCTGAACATGAGTGTTGTGTTCACAGGTCTGCTCTGGTTGAGCAGAAGACAGTTATATTTTGCTCTAGCTGAAGCTTCAAGGTGGTCTTAGAGGTTAGGCCTAAGTATGGGTTATTACCATAGTGTGGTCTGGAGGTGCAAAGGTGTTACTGGCAGGGAAGAATTCTGCATTAGAAGGGAGTGATCAGACTCCTCACAAGCCACAGATGATTAAAATAAATATGTGTTGCAGCTGTAACCTGAAAAACCAGGATCAGTGACGGCTCCATTAGGATCTTAATTTAGAAAACATTGACAAAATGCAGACATGCATCATCAGCAGATGATGCAGCTAATGCCTTTGCCCAGTCCATTAAATGCTTCTTCATGCCCACAAGAATCTCTTCTGTTTTAGCTGGTGCAAGTCACATCCATTCTGAATCTCAGCCTGTCCATTTTCCTTCCAGTCAATCGCACATTTGGGCTAATGAGACTAGTCAGTGGAAGACAGACACAGAACTTTGTGTTGGTCAGTATTTATTATATCCGCAAAACATCTTGCAGTCACCTCATACATGTTGAACAGGAAAGGTGATAAGGTGGAATCCTGAGGGATGCAGCAGGTGAGAGCTTTCCGGAAGGATGAAAGTGGGGAAGGAGAAAACTCAATGAATGGCCATTCTGAACATGTCCGTAAGACCCTATAGACAAATCAATGGTACCAAAAGCAGCCGATAGTTCTAAAAAAAGCATGGCCTTTACCCTACTCATCACTATAGGGATGCAATTAACCATCAGTATCTATAGAGACTTGGTTTAGAGAAACAGTATTCTGCATAAAAATATTAGTATGCTAAGCAACACTTGCATCTCTTCTTACTCTTGGGTTGGCAGAGACCACAAATGCCATAGAGAACACGGACAGATTTTGGAGGTGAAGAGTGCCCTGTGCCACACTCTACAGTGATTACTGCACCCTCCCTGGCCTTAGTCGATACTTGAAAGGCCAGATCTTCAGCCAGTGGAAATTGATGTAGCTGCATTGCCTTAAAAAAACCTGACTCAAAGTGTGTGTGGTTTCTGGAAGGAGAATTGCCTCTTTGAATGGATATTTGCTACTACTTTGCTCTCCCTAGCTGACAGACTTGTTTTCCTCACTGGGTATGTCTACACTTGGAGCTGGGGGTGCGATTCCCAGCCCATGTAGTCATACTTGCACTGGCTTCCATCAAACTGGCATGCTAAAAATAGTAGTATAGCTTCTCTCACCGACATAGTGCCGTTCGCGGGGGGTGGTTTAATATCAACAGGGGAGCACTCTCCCATCAACATAGAGTGGCTACACTAGAGATCTTCTAGCAGCACAGCTGCATTGGTACAGGTCTCTGGTGTAGACATAGCCTTAATGTTCAGTTCTTGCACAATGAAAGACTTCCGTTTAATAACAATGACTTTATTTGTCTTGTGTTCCTAAGTAATAGGCACTTGAGGTAACCTCAGGGTCACTGAGACCTTCACACTAATCAATTTCAGCATTCACAAAGAGGTTAGTTCAGTGGGACTTTAAATACTTCCCTGGAAGTGATAGTATCTAGGCTCCCTGAAGACAGGCCATATGCATGACTTTGTTTGTGGGTATGGAGATTCAGTTCAACTCTCTTGTGTGGTTTAATCACCTTATGTGTTTCAAATCAGGGATTATTTTGCACCTATGTCATCAGCAGAGCTGATCTATTTCTTCGCTATTTCCAGTAACTAATGAATCCTTTTGATCTGGGGGACTGTAGATACTATACTATATTTTATGCTGTGGCCTATCTAGAAGTCCAACGAGAGTGCTGAACAGCTGTTAGAGAAGTCTCTTAGCTTCCTTGCCCCTCTCTTGTAGCTCTGTATTTGTTTCTTGTGCCTGGAGTCTGTTGGTAATTCTCCATGTCTTTTATCATTAGTAATATTCCCCATGGTAGATGGAGAGAGCCATTACAATAGACACCACATAATTTTTGACTCTTTGGATTGACACCCGTTGCGTTTGCTATAAAATGGTTCTGTGGAACATATTTGCTGCTTAATAAATTGAAGTATTAATACTGATACAAACAAGTATGACATCATTCAGCCAAGTGTTTTTCAATTTGTCAAGCTTCTATGAAAAGAGTACTAAGGGCTCCATTGTGAGCTGCAGGACATGCCCGCACAGGGTAATAAGATACCATAAGGCACTCCCTTACCTATGCTATCCACATCACAGATGTGTACTCAAGGGGAGAGCAGCTGGCACTGGCTTGCTACCCCTCTCTTCCCTCCCCCCCCATCTCTCTCATGTGGCTCTGCTCTTCCACAGCACACCATCTGTGCAGCTGAGCTGGTTTGGAAGAAAGTAAGCTGGACCAGGAAAAATTGCTGACACAGCTTACTTTCCCCTCTTGCAAGGTGCCAAATCACCAGCCTTCTGTCAGTTAGCAGTCATCACTTTCTAATTACTGTTTATTCTGATAATATTTTGACAATTTCATCAAGTTCCCCTGTTTAATGTCCATATAATGATGGTGCTAAAACAAATAACTCTGCCCCCTTCAACTTCTAGAGCTGGCTGCATTGTCAGTATGTACATTTCTGTTATAGTAAAAGCTTTTTTTTCTGTTTAGAAACAAATTATAGCTTCCAATTAATTCCTTCGTTGTTGTTGTTGGATTTTGTTTTTGACAAAGGTATTTCAAGTTAATATTAGAAAATTGAGATGACCTTGCATAATTTTGTAATAAATGAATTCACTTTCTCTTCCCAGGTATGAATGCTGCAGTACGTGCGGTAGTGCGTATGGGGATCTACGTAGAAGCTAAAGTGTATTTTATCTATGAGGTTAGTTTTCCTGTTGTATTCATTCTGTATTTGATTTTTGAATGCGTTTGGACCTTGTTCTTGTGGAAATTTCACATGGATTTTAATGGTGTAAGACTCAAAATATTACACATGATGTTCCTTTTGATCACACCAAAAGCCTTTTTTACCCATGAAAGGTAATTTACCTGGTAATGACCAAGAGATGATATTCTAATTAAAACAGAAGTTTGATTTCTGGTTCCAGACCTTTTCTCCATACAACAGCAAGGGGTTGGGAATATTGAGAAGACTTAGCTGTGGTAGTTGATGGGATCAGGCCTTGCATTACGCAGCAATGACCTGTCTATCTATACGTGAATACCTTCTGTATGGTATTCATCTAGCCCTCCCCTCCCCTCCCCTCTCCTCCCCTCCCTTACTATAGTATGAGCATCTTATAACTTTTGAGGTATTTATTCTGACAACACCCCTGTGAGGCAGGAAAGTAGTATTATTCCCAGTTTACAGATGGGGAACTGAGGCACAGAAAGATTACATGACAAGAGTAGTCTGCTGCTGGTTCTATAGCCACTGGACAATTTTTCCCATTCTACAAACTAAGGGGAGTAGTTGACAGGCTGGCTACAAGATGAAGTCCTCGCCACTTCTTTCCAAACATCAGAACTATTGTGTCTGTGATTGATGTATATGTATGTGAAGTTATATTCAAAGTGCATGGGATATGGAAATTTGAAAGACATATACATGTACATCAAAAGGAGAAAACTATGTAAATGTTACAGGAAAATGTCCATATTGTACTTCAATTTAATAAAGAGATATATTTTATCTTTAAAGTATGTGAATATTGGAATACAGTAAACATTTTAAACAAACAAGTGGCCCATTTGTATTGTATGTTGGAATTATATCAGTTCTCCTTTAGAAGCCTTTAGTTTTTAAAAGTAAAGCAATCATGGAATAACATGGAAGATCCTTTCATGGATCAGTAACTGGTTAAAAGACAGAAAACAAAGTGTAGGAAAAATAGTCAGTTTTCAGAATGGAGGGAGATAAACAGTTGTGTGGCCCAGAGATCTATACTGGGATCAGTGTTGTTTAACTTATTCATAAATGATCTGGAAAACAGGGTAAACAGTGAGGTAGCAAAATTTGCAGATGTACAAAATTATTTAAGATAGTTAAGTCCAAAGCAGACTACGAAGAGTTACAGACTCACAGAACTGGGTGACTGGGCAACAAAATAGCAGATGAAATTCAGTGTTGATAAATGCAAAGTAATGCACATTGGAAAACATAATCCTAACTATATATACAAAATGATGGGGTTTAAATTAGCTGTTACCACTCAAGAAAGAGATCTAGGAGTCATTGTGGATAGTTCTCTGAAAACATCCACTGAATGTGCTGCAAGAGCTGAAAAAGCAAACAGAATGTTAGAAACTGTTAGGAAAGAGATAGATCAGTGGTTTTCAACCTTTTTTCATTTGTGGACCCCTACAAATTTTCAAATGGAGGTGTGGACCCCTTTGGAAATCTAGTGTCTGTATATATAGTTGAATTCTGTTCAGTCAGTTTTCAGTCTAAGTCTTCCACGGACCTCTTAGACATAGTCCATGAACCCCCTAGGGAGGTCCATGAATCACAGGTTGAGAACCACTGGGATAGATTAAAAAGACAGACAATATCATAATACTTCTATATAAATCCATGGTTTGCCCATCCCTTGAATACTGCGTGCAGTTCTGGTCACTTCATCTCAAAAACAGTTATATTAGAATTGGAAAAGGTACAGAGAAGGACAACAAAATGAATAAGGGTATGGAACAGCTTCCATATGATGAGAGATTAAAAAAGACTGGGACTTTTCAGCTGGGAAAAGAGATGACTAAGAGGGGATATGATAGAGGTCTATAAAATGGTGACTGGTATGGAGAAAGTAAATAAGCATCTGTTATTTACTCCTTCACATAATACAAGAATCTGGGGTCACCCAATGAAATGAATAGATAGCAGATTTAAAACAAACAAAAGAAAGTACTTACTGTACTCACAACACACAACCCGTGGAACTCATTGGTAAGGGATGTTGTGAAGACCCAAACTATAACAGAGTTCAAAAACAAACTAGATAAGTTCATGGAGATTAGGTCCATCGATGGCTATTAGCCAAGATGGTCAGGTATGCAATCCTATGCACTGGCTGTTCCAAGCCTCTGAGTACCAGAAGCTGGGAGTGGATGACAGGTAATGGATCACTCGATTGCCTGTTATGGTCATTCTCTCCAGAGCACCTAGCACTGGCCACTGTCAGAAGACAGGATACTGGGCTAGATGGATCATTGGTCTGACCTAGAATGGCTGTTCTTACGTTTTAGAAGTTTATAAGCCAAAATAAACATTTTATCTAGGCTAAAATGTGCGATGCAATTTTGCTAATTAAAGGTGATTTTAATATGTCAAATAAACCAAATTTAATTATAGAAGTGCTAGAAAATACAGCGTTTGCTAGTTTGTATTTACCTAACACACCATTTATATTTTTAAACTTGATTATTTATTCATTTTTGTCCATATCTGTTTATACTCAGAGTGCAGCCACTAGAGCTATAAAACACATTTGTAAAGGAGGCTTTTTGTTTGTTTTTCCTTTTATTTTTTAACTTAAGCTATTCCTAATGCTGGACACGTTAAGCTGTAAAAGTTACTTGGCATAACAAGGCATTCACTGAAGTTTGTATAGTAACATAAGCAACATATACATTTATATGTGTTTCAGAATAATGTGTACATATGGTTAATCCAATAGTCTGTGGCAGTTTTAAAATGGACATGAGTTTGGGCTCGAAAGAAAAATAGTAACAGCTATTTGAAAAACAACCATCAAGCAAATTTTGTTATATTGAACACTTTAAAATTTTGTTTTAAAATGCAGAAATTAATTCAACTATGTTATGAAATATGAGAAGGTTATTCTGAGGCTAAATATGGTAAAAGCTTTCCACAATTTTAGCTTGCAAGAAAGACAGCCAAAGAACTTCTTACCCTGCCCCCTCCCCCCACCCCAATCTAACCCCTTGTCAGAAGGGATACAAATTGGCTGTGAGTTGAAAGGAAATTCTAGAAATTGGCAAGCTAGTGAGCACACCAAATATTCAGAAGCTGGTTGTTGTGGCAGCACAGCACAAAAGATTTCTGGAGCACAGTGCTCTGCTTATTTGCATACCAATTCTCTTTTTGTAGTAGGAAAATATTAATTCTACCCTTCATCCCCTGCCCCTCCCATGGTTCGAAATTAATATGTCTGCAATCTGCATGGTTTGCTACCCCTATTGTATGACTTAATGGACGATTGGCAGTGAAGTACTGGACTGGGTCCTGCCTCATGATGATAGGGGGAGCCGAGAGTGGACAGATGTGGGGTTGAAGCCTTAGGGACAGATCCCTGGGTGCAGCCAAAATACACAGAGTGCAAGTCAAGAAGCAGTATGCAAAGATGGCTTAAAGCTCCTGTGTTATTGTCCTGCCCCGGAGCGTCTGTATACATGGACTATATGGCTGTTCTCTTTACCCTGTCGTAGAGCAGTGTGAAGGATTCTCTTATTCAAGCCAGGCTACAGTGGTCATAAGGGGTCCAAAATGCATCTGAGGATCAGTGTGATGTATGGATGTTGAGCTGCACACTCTTTTCCCTGCTGCAGGGAGTATAACAGTACGGGCCTGGCACATAAGACCCCCCATATCATGTCTGTGCCTCTGGAGGATCATCCTCACACTGGGAAGTAAAAAATTCACCCTCTTCCTGACTTTATGTACCCCAAAATTAATAAGATCAGTTCAAGCCTTCTCAGTCTTGGCTGCTCCTGGGGTTCCTACCTCAGGACTGCTCACATTCATTCAATTTCCATGCCTGTCTAAGGCTAATCTGTTCTTAAATTTACCAGAAATGTAGAAATACTTCTTTATATGACATTCTGGGGTGCAATCCAGACCAGTGAGGGGTTATGTCACCCTTGCCCTGCAGCTTGGGGTGCCTCACAGTGCTTTGCTGCTGTAGCTCCCAACCTGGATTTCTCACAAACAGTATGCAGGTTACACTCTTTGTGTGTCTGTGTATAGCCACAGCCCTGGTCCAGCAACCCTGGCCCCAGCCCATCTAAAGGGATCAATAAACAACAGTTTGCTACCCTAAATGGAGTTACCCACACAATTCGGTTTAAACCCAACACTGGATTAGTTTTGTTTAATGAATAAAACAAGCTTATTTAACTTCAAGGAGATACGTTTTAAGCGAGTACAAGTATAAGGCATTAAAGTTAGAAATGGTTACAAGAGAAATAAAGATAAAATGCTTCCTAAACTTAACAAACAAGACTTGGTTCCAGGTGAAGTTCTTACCATATGCTTCCAGCAACAGGGCTGACCAAACTTCAGGTCAGGATCTCACCCCAAAGTCAAATGGGTGAGTTTCTTTTGCCTTCTTCCATGAAAGAATGAGAGATGGATAGGAAAAGATAACTTGGAGGGGTTTTGCCCTTTACTTTTATAGTTCAGTCACCCTTTGAAATGCATTTTCCTAATTAAAATTCATTCAAACAGTAAAGGAGAGTGGTGAAAGATCTTCCTCTGTTTGCTGAAATGCAGATTTTTCTTGTCTCCTGTCTTCCCCTCTTGCTGTCTGAGGACACTGTTTACAACTTATATGTAAACTGAGGTAACTGCTCATTCCTTTGTTTAAGACCTGCTTGACCTGTCCTGCCTAATCACGTGGGTTTGAACATGATACTAACATTATTTAGGGGGAATTCATAACTTTACATATAATGTTGCTACACACATTTCATTATGGTATTATTGACCAGTGAGTTATTAGTTTTCCAATGATACCTTACCAGGCATATTTTATACAAAATTTATTACAATGGTGTGTAGGGTGTGAATACAGGGATGCATTCTGTCATACTTTTGTGGACCATTTAATACACTCAAATGTGTAACTGCTGATATTCTGCAATTTT